GTAGATGCTATTACTTTTCATTTCTTGAACTACTAGTAGGTTTAAACATATTTTTATAAACTTCATTCAGATTTACAAATATATTTTTTGAGAGTTAAGATGGTGTGAGGGAAGACTCTCCTTTGGTCAAGGAGTCCAAGGAGTCATTGCATATATACAACCACTCTAAATAAATACTGACCTCAAGAATACAGAAGTAATATAAATTTAGGAGTCAAAATTTCATATAAATATTCCCAGATTTATGTTCAATTTTATGCCTTTGACTTTTAGATAGAGATATACTATATTTTATTTCCTGAGGCCTAAACTCATCCTGGAAGCTGGTTATATACAGTAAAATTTTATCTATATGTGAGAATGATAGATGTAGCATGAAATTTCCACAGTTTCTGGCCTTTTTTTTTTTTTTTTTGTCAATTGCCTACTTATCCCCTTTATTTTTCTAATTGTGTTGTTCATTTTCTTAGGAATTTTAAATGATTCTTAAATGTATCTTGATGGTACATCCATGATTTTAATGCTTTGATATTTATCTAGCTGATATCTTTCTCAGTTGTTCTCTATTTACATTTTAATGAACTAACATCCATCTTTCCATTTGGGAATGTTCATCTTATTTGTGCATCATTTTGGTTTTTCTCTTATAATGGTTCTCATGCACCATTATTATAATTTGAATTTTTGGAATTATAGAACAGATCTATCAAGTGAAGACTGATATAAAAGTGAAAGAATAAGAGTAAAGTAAAAGCAGCATGTCTCCTCAATAATATCTCCACGGACAACAAAATAATCTTTGACCTATTGCATGATCATTCTTCTTAAGTGTACATAAAAAATGTATTTTTAAACTTGTTAGTTTTTATCAAAATCAGAGTGTAGAATTAGAGTATTTTCCCCTAAAATTTCAAGCACAATGTACAGAAACCGAAAACAACCCCAAAGACATCTGAGATAAGCAAGAGGCTGAAAGTCTGTATCCTAAAATTACCCATACTTTTCAAGTGAAGCCAATATCTCTGTAGACACAACAGAAAAGTAAATCAGTATTCAAAAAGAATATCTGCAGCAGAACTTTAGTAAAATAAATAATTTAGTGATAATTTATTTTTCACATTGCTTGTAAAGAAATAGATGATTCTGTCAATACACTTTAACAATTCCAATGCCTTCAAGAAATTTAATGAGTTAAATTATATCACCACTTTCAAGATTAAACAAGTTAAAACTCTTTGAGGGCTAGATGAATAGGCTAAAATTTCAAAGTTCAAAAAGTCACAAGCTATAAGAAATTATGAGAAATGAACACATCTTTTAGTACCACTGAGGAGAAGAATTTCCTTTCCTATTCATGGTCCTTCTGGCTGGACTAAGAATTAAATTGTCCTGAGACAGATTAACAAAAGAAAATCAAACTTGATTTTGTATGTATGGGGAATCCAAACAGAAATAGAAATTCCAAAGACAGGCAAAATAAGGTATATATATCATTCTGAACTAGGGAGAAGGGGACAGAGATCTGGATCTCAAAGAGAAGGAGTGCAATTCACAGGAAGATCAAAAAGTAAATGTTTAATAAATGTTTGCTGGGCCTTTCAGAAACAAGGGGACATAGAAGACTTTGATCAAACAGACCCTGCTAGGTTCCTCCCTGTCTATCAAAACTAGTTCATAGTATAATGTATTAATCTATGGCAATAACTCTCTTCCTGGAGCAGTCCTCTATCTAAATTCTTTATAGATACCTCACGGTTGCAGGGAGATGAAGAGCTTTTCTTGAATCTGCTGGGGTTTGATTGTTTTTGAACTCAAACTAGTCTTCATGCTAAAGTGTCCCATCTTGGGACAGCCTGCCCAAGGCCTCTGATATAGACTCTGTGATTTTAATACATAAAATGTTAAACAGTGGTTAAATAATCCTCAAATATAACATGCCCCTTTAAATTTTTTGAAAAATGTATTTTAGAATGTAATACATTTGAAATGTTTCTTGTATGGAGTACATGATGTGGACCAATTCACTGAAAGACTGAATATTTTGCAAAACATTCTCAGCAAACCCAACCTTCTTTCTACACAAAACAAGCTACCTGGCTTTATGGGCCCTTTCTCTGTACTTCCATTTTAGTCACTTGGGTTTAAAAACTAGCTCTACCATATACTGGCTGGTGACTTTAGACCAATTACGTGACCTCTTTTTCTGAGTTTTCCATCTGTAAAACAGATAATCATAGTGTCTGTTTCTTAAAGCATTTATGATTTAAATGAATTGATATTTTCCAATAAAATAGCCCCAGATAGTTCTGGAAACACTAGTGACAAATATACAATATACACTAGTGACAATTATACTGTGAATGTAACTGCCACTGAATTTTACACTAAAAATGGTTAAAATGGTAAATTTTATGGTAATGTGTATTTTACCACAATAAAAAAAATTAAAAAATAAAATAAAATAGTGCCTGTCACAAAGTAAGAATTTTTTAAAGAAACTAAAAGTAGCATTTACTGGGGCATGTAGGTGGCTTAATTGATTGAGCATCTGATATCAGCTGGAGTCATGATCTCCGGGTCCTGAGATGGAGCCAGCATCAGGCTCCAAACTCAATGGGGAATCTACTTCTTCATCTCCCTCTCCCTTTGCCCCTTCCCCTGCTCATGTTCTCTCTCTCTCTCTTTCTAAAATAAGTAAAATCTCTTTTAAAAATAGCATTTACTACTCTGCATCATAATTATTAGTTTATTTGTATCACCCATAACTAAAAGCTTCATATGGATAGACTACATATTTAATTTGTTCAGCATTTATAACTCTAACACCTCTCAGGGACTCAGACATATAGGAGGTCCTAAAGAAATACCTATGACTGAGTGTGGTGTCCAGCAATAGGTTGCCTAAGAGACAGTAACTTCCTTCTTGGTATAATTATTTAAGGAGAAGTATAATGATCTCCTATTAGTGATGTGTCAGAGCGTCTGACCAATACATAGGACTAGTAAAATTGTCTAAAATTTCTTCCTAATCTAAGATTGCATTATACTATTTATCTTGTGCCTTGATACAGCAATTTTCATAATCTAACAACAGTACCAACATAATAAAGGAATTCCATCTTTCACTACGTGCCACCTCCATCCCTATAATATGCTCTGCTGGTACTAAAACACTTGTAGTCTTTTCAGATCTCCTGGTATATTTACATGCTCTTTTCCCTTTGCTTAGAATGTGCTCTGTCTCATGTATGCTTCACATTCTTGAAGTCACGTTCTCTAGAAAGGCTTCCATGGTCCTCAAAAAGGGTGTTAATTGTCCCATACATGCTGCAACAGCATTTTGGTTTTGTTTTTATCACATGTTATAAGAGTTACCAATTTGCTAGTTCTCCAAACTATAGGCTATTTGGCAGCAGAGTCTGGGTCTTTCTCAATTATCTAACACATTGCCTGGTAATAAACACTTATTAGAAGTATAACAGCATGAATGAAACCATCTTGTGAGGTCTACTGCTTTCAATTGTATACATCATCATTTTTTAAAAGATTATTTATTTTAGAGAGAAAGAGAGACAGAGCAAGACGAAGACAGGAGGGAGAGAGGGAGAGGAAGAGAATCTCAAGCTGACTCCTTACTGAGAGGGGAGCCCAAGTTGAGACTTGATCTCACCACCCCAGATTATGACCTGAGCAGAAACCAAGAGTCAGAGGCTTAACCCACTGACCCACCCAGGTGCCCCTGTACATTATAATTTTTGAAAGCACATTTTAAAATATATTTTGACCAGCCAGATGTCAATGCTTTCTTTGTGGCAAAATTCTGTCCCAGTGTCCGTGATTTCAAGTACCTCTTTAATGCTATGGAGCACGGTTTGTTATATGCAAATGTGTATCCCAAGCCAAATATGTGCTTTTATTTTGTGCCTAGAACTTATACTCCTCAAAGCAAGTTTTCTTTAGCAAAATGTTTGAAGGCAAAGAGACCAAGCCAAAATCTGCTAAGACAACTAGCCATTTTGTCTGAAACAAAGAAATGAAAACAAAAACTGAGTTCTTACCAACTGTGAACAAGACAATTTGTCAGAGATGATTAACTCTGATATTATAGGCTGTCTATACAGATCTGCTGAGATGAAATGAAAATACCTTAACCTTACGAGAACTTGATGTTTCCTACTCTACCCCCTACAAGCCAAGCTTTCCAGTCTTCCATTTATTCTGTAGTTCCTCACAAAAGATTATTAAAACACTAACACAAAAATCTCAGTGAGGAAATCCGAATTAAAGAGGAAATGCCTTTGTCCATGAGGATAAGAAAGGGTGCATCCCACACTAAATTTTCAACTCAAGAGGCAAGAATGGAATTAAAAGATCTACTGAATTTTCAACAGTATCAAAGAAGAATGCTCATTTCCCCTTGCATAATTAGAAAGTTCCTCAAACATGTTCATTATTCAGCAACTGGCATTCAGTACAGATGGCTCATTAATAAACGATGACACATGTGGTATCAGAAATCAACTCTGGATAATATTTAGTTTTAGTTTTTGTTTTGTTTTTTAAAGATTTTATTTTTTATTTGACAGAGAGAGAGAGATCACAAGGAGGCAGAGGGGCAAGCAAAGAGAGAGAGAGAGAGAGATAAGAGGAAGCAGGCTCCCCGCTAAGCAGAGGGCCCAATGCGGGGCTCGATGCAGGGCTCGATTCCAGGACACTGGGATCATGACCCAAGCCAAAGGCAGAGGCTTTAACCCACTAGACCACCCAGGCACCCCATATTTAGTTAGCTTAGTTTAGTGAAAAGCCTGTACTCCTTTGACTCAAGCCTTTCTTCGGTTGGTTCTGCAGATTGCTATGACTTTCTGCCCCCAAACCTAGAACTTCCGTTCCCGCTTCTCCCTAAGCTCCTCCGAAAGCAGGCCCAGCTTGCGTGGGTCGGGGTGTGACTTGGTAGGGGCGGGCTCGCGCGTGCGCACTGGCCTGTCCGCGACGGGTGGACCATGGAGGCTCCAAGGCCCTTTGCGCGGGAATGGTGCTCCGAATCACTTCCCTGGATGCGAGGAGGCGTTTTGAGGCTGTGGCTACTACTGCTGGATTTCGGTTTGAACGCGACACTTCCTCATGAAGAGGATGTACACTTTATCAATGAGTACGTGAACCTCCACAATGAGCTCCGGGGCAACGTCCTTCCCCGAGGGTCTAACTTGCGCTTCATGGTGAGGCTCTAAGGCGGTTGCCCAAACCAACAACCTCCTTGTCACAATGCCACCCCTCAGCCTCAGAACCCGGGCACTGCTTCACTGAGGTTGACGGATCGCAGGGAACAGCACTTTTAGTTTGGGTTTAAAAAAAATACCCTCAGATAAAAAAACATGTCACTGTGACACACGGTTATTGCCAAGATTTTGCACAGTACTGGGATTTGTAGAAGTACTCAGCTGAGGGATTGTCTCAGTCACCTCATCCCAGCCCTGGCCTTAGATTTTGCATTCCCTCACAATGTTATTCTTCCTTTTTCTTCCATTTTCCCCTCTTATTTCCATTTTATACCTCATCAACTGTTCTCTTGCTACTAGTCTTTGTGACTGTCATTTAAATAAATATTCTCTTACCAGGCAATTAGGAGCTTCCGATTTATATTATTAAATGATATTACAAGGACTGTTTCCATAGACATAACTTTTTTCTTCCTTCTGGGTTAGCTCCTTAGACAAATTCGAGAAATAGGATAAATAAATTAAGGGTATGATATTTTAAATTTATATGATATATAGCAATTGCTTTTCTAAAGGACTATGCCAAATTAAGCAAATACTAACAGTGTATTATAAGGTATTTTCCCATAACACAGTCATGGGAAGCAATGACTAAATGCTTACAAACTTGGACTTGAGAGTTAGACTTCTTGGATTTAAATCCAGGCTCCACAGTTTACTGACTCTAAGTAGCTATAAGTAAACTACTTAACTTTTTTTGTGTTTTAGTTACTTACTTTGTGAGATAAAAGCAATAATTATGCATAACTCATAGGATTATTGTGAACACTGAGTGAAATAATGCTTAGAAAACACTTAGAATAGGGACTAGTACATAGTAAGCATGTGATAGATAAACAATATGCAAAACGAAGCAATAGAAGGATAGTCCTTGGAGCATTGTTTGCAGATGGAAAGCTGTCTAAAAGGCCATTAATAGGGGAATGGTAACAGGTCTTATAAAATATCCATATTGGGGAATAATACTGTGCTGACTTTGTTAAACTTGGATAGATCTAGTTATTCTAAAATGGAACAATCTCTCTTAAGTGAAAACTGCGAAGTTGAAGGCCAGTTATATTGTGTATGGCATGATTACAATTGTATAGAAAAAAAATCACCCAATACCTACCTACAACATCCCCGCTTATATTTTATATTTGAATATGTTTGTATATGTATACATACAGAGATAGAGAAATGTATACATAAGCAATTTTTTTAAACAATTTTTACCTTTGGGGAGGAAAGCGTGAGGGATATTCTAAAGAAATATTTATTTTCTATATTTTCTATATGTATAATCTATGAAATTAACTAAGAAAACTCAAAGGAAATCTTGGTATTGGTTTTTAGAAACGTTTATTTTCAGATATATTGTAGCATGTACAAAGCATTTTGATTTTACAACTTTTTTGTTGATTTATCTAAATGTACAGTGAATTTAATGAGTCTCAAAATAGTGATAAAATTACACATTTCTGAATATTTCTAGATAGGTAGCAAGGGAACAGTATCTTGTGATATTTTCTTACATTTCTGAGACTATCCACAAAACTTTACATGTGCCTCTTTTAGCATATTCAGCAATTACAACTATGTGTTAAAATTTTATATTTATAGAATATAGAAGACAAAATTTATGCCTGACTTTGTATTTTATTCCCCGCATTACAATAGTTTGCATATACTCAGTATTCAATAAATAGTTCTTAGATGAATACTTTAAATTATTGTATTATTATGTAGAAAAGGAATGAGATTAAAAGTATATATTCTGAACAGAATACATGTTAGAGTATATAACCATTTGCATCATCTAACAATATGATTTTTAAATTACAATTATATAGATAGTCCTTTGCCTCAGGAAATAGTTATTTCATTTATGATTAACTCAAGAACATTTTCCCCCATAGAAATTCTACCAACAAGCTCATAAGCACAAAGTTTGAATTGTTTTCCTTAAACAGAATATGAGAACTCAAGGAAAGTAATTTAGAGAACAAGAAACAAAATGCTCATTATTATTATTTTTTCTTTGCTTTTTGCATTTTTTTCAGACTTGGGATGTAGCTTTGTCACGGACTGCTAGAGCATGGGGGAAAAAATGTGTCCTTGAACATAATAATCATTTAGAAGAACTAAACATGGCCCATCCTGTATTTAATGGTATTGGTGAAAATATATGGGTTGGACCTGAAAATGAATTCACTGCAAGTATTGCTATCAGAAGTTGGTATGAAGAGAGGAAAATGTACAATTTTGAAAATGACAGTTGCTCTAGTGACTGTTCTAATTATAAACAGGTATCTAATTTTTATATTAATTCAATAGACTCCTTAATTGCTTTCTACGAAGTTTTGATTATGTTTCAATTTTATAAATAACCTCAAATGGTAAAGTTACTACTTCTAATAGAATCAAAATTCTAATTAGTCCTGGATCTTCAAAATGTCTGTGATTGCATCTATTATGTGAACCATACAGTTAAAACATTCCTTTAAATGTAGTAAATCTCATTTCCATACCCAAAAATGAAAGGTGCTTTTCTAAAAGTAATACACTTTGGAAAAGGAAGAAACTAACAAATAAAAATTATTTTTAAATTATTGACTATAAACATAAGTAAAGAACTTCATATTTTTTGCACAGATCTGTACACATACTACTATATAGCTGATTGATTAAAACATTCTAAGTGCAAATTAATAGCATTATTTTCCTGTCTTGTCTAACAATCCACCTTTACACTTTATATTCCAGCAATACTGAACCACTTGTTATTTCCTCTATATATACTTATTATTTCACTGTCACATTATTTATAATCTATATACTACACTGAGTACAGAGAGTTATCTTATCCATACATTCTCAACATAACAAGAACATAACATTATTTTGGTTTTCCATAAGTATTTGTATCAGGAATCAAGAAATAATTGGATTAACTTCCAAGCTGGTTTAAGAGATAATTATTTTTGAAAAAAAAAAAAAAGGAGATGATTATTTTTCAATCAATAGACTATGATGTCATGTTTTATGCAGAACTTAAAATCCTATGATTTTGTCATGTTAAATTCGTATCTAAGTTCCATCGAATGAATCGTGTTTCAAAGCTGTTTGATCCATTCTTTCTTCGGGAAAGTTAGAGTGGTTCTCCATTGTATTGCTCATATCAAGGTCAGACTCCTTAATAAACGATTTTAATAATCCCAGTAAATTAACCAAGTCTACTCCATGATCTTCTCCTGTTATTTTTTCTTCTTTAATTCTGGTTTCCTAGAGATTTTTGTTTCCTGTTTTTGACCTGCTTAACTCCATTTCAACTACTGCTGACATTCTCTTCTCTATTCTTTTAATATATCACTTTGTTTCTTTAAGAATCGCTTTTTTTAATTTAATTTTTTTCAGTGTTCCAAGATTCATTGTTTATGCACCACACCCAGTGCTCCATGCAATACGTGCCCTCCTTAATACCCACCACCAGGCTCACTCAACCCCCCCACTCCCTCCCCTCTAAAACCCTTGGTTTGTTTCTCAAGAGTCCACAGTCTCTCATGGTTCATCTCCCTCTCCGATTTCCCCCAACTCACTTCTCCTCTCCAACTCCCAATGTCCTCCGTGTTATTCCTTATGCTCCACAAGTAAGTGAAACCATAAGAATTTTTTTAATTCTTTTTTTTTTTTAGGATTTTATTTATTTATTTGACAGACAGATCACAAGTAGGCAGAAGCAGGCAGAGAGAGAGGAAGGGAAGCAGGCTCCCCGCTGAGCAGAGAGCCCAATGCGGGGCTCCATCCCAGGACCCTGGTACCCTGGGACCATGACCTGAGCCGAAGGCAGAGGCTTTAACCCACTGAGCCACCCAGGCGTCCCAATTCTTTTTTTTTTTTAATTCTCATTTTTTAATTCTTTATTCTTTTATTTTTTTCTTTATTTATTCTTTATTTTTTAATTCTCATTTTTTTAAAACCTCTAAAGCTTGGGATAAAGAGAAAAGGAAACCAGAAACTGTTTCTCTCTTCCACAGATGTTAACAGACAAAACAAGTATTTTTTTGTTACATGGAAGTATTTGAAATACTAAAGCCCTACAGAGAATTTCTGGAATATCTTCAATCATTCTCATATTGTCACTCCAATTCAAGACCTGTTTTTCTTTTTATAGAAACCAGCTCTTTTATACATTTTTTTAAATTGCAGGTCCAGACTCTATTTTATTTTATAATGGAATTTTCTCAACAAAAGAGAAATGCTGACTGCATTCAGTTACCCTCTACTCTTATATTACTTTTCCTTCCTTTCTATAATCTTGATGTCATTTTTCTCCTTTCTAGTCACAACTTCCAGTATTCCAAAACCTCTTTTCCTTGTTCCTCTCTGTCAATAACCTAGAACTCTCAGATTCAACAGGAGTTTGAAAATTGAATGAAGGTGTAAAACTCTCTGGATCAGTGTTTCTCAAACTCTTTATCCTAAGGCAGAACCTGCTAAAGGTTTCTCTAAATAGAGCTTGGGAAATGCTTCCCTAAATCTATGATAATTCTCTACCTGCATCCAAATAGAGAATACTTCATATTCCTTAAATTGCTTGGTTAACAGTTCCTTGTGAATTGAATATATTATTGTTTATAACATGTCAGTAAATGTTTAAATCAAATTTTGTTTCCTTTGAAAATTTTATTTTAGCTTGTTTGGGACACATCTTACAAAGTCGGTTGTGCTGCTACTTCATGTACAAGAGTTGGACGTATTAGATATGCAGTAATTTTCATATGCAACTATGCACCAGGGTAAGTTGTTTTAAATTTTAAAAAGAATATAAAAATAAATTGGGAATTTTTCAAGGTTAAGTTTTCCTAACTTTTAAAATATTCTTCTGAATGTCTTTGTGCACTGTAAAAGAATTAAATGTAAGATACTAAAGATTTTAAATTGAAATAGTTTCAATTCTATAATGAAAAAAGTCATATTTTGGGCATATTGATTTAACATACAAATTAGCCAAGGATTACTTCCTTAAAGAATTTTAACTTTGTGAATGGTTTAAGTGAATGGTCGAGTTTCATTCTATACATAGCTGTCCAATTTTCCCAGCACCATTTATTGAAGAGACTGTCTTTTTTCCACTGTATATTTTTTCCTGCCTTGTCGAAGATTATTTGACCATATAGTTGAGGGTCCATATCTGGGCTCTCTATGTATCTGTTTTTGTGCCAGTCTATGTATCTGTTTTTGTGCCAGTACCATGCTGTCTTGGTGACCACAGTTTTGTAGTAAAGCTTGAAATCAGGCAACGTGATGCCCCCAGCTTTGTTTTTCTTTTTCAACATTTCCTTAGTGATTTGAGGTCTTTTCTAGTTCCATACAAATTTTGGGATTATTTGTTCTAGCAGTTTGAAAAATGCTGGTAGAATTTTGATCGGAATGGCATTGAAAGTATAGATTGCTCTGGGCAGTATAGACATTTTAACAATGTTTATTCTTCTGATCCATGAGCATGGAATGTTCTTCCATCTTTTTGTGTCTTCTTCAATTTCTTTCATGAGTGTTCTGTAGTTCCTCGAGTACAGATCCTTTGCCTCTTTGGTTAGGTTTATTCCAAGGTATCTTATGGTTCTTGGTGCTATAGTAAATGGAATCGATTCTCTAATTTCCCTTTCTATATTTTCATTGCTAGTGTATAAGAAAGCAACTGATTTCTGTATATTGATTCTGTATCCTGCCACATTACTGAATTGCTGTACGAGTTCCAGTAGTTTGGGGGTGAAGTCTTGGGTTTTTCATAAAAAGTTTCATGCCATTGGTGAAGAAAGAGAGTTTGACTTCTTCTTTGCCAATTTGAATACCTTGTATTTCTTTTCGTTGTCTGATTGCTGTTGCTTGGACTTCTAGTACTATATTAAACAACGGTGGTGAGAGTGGGCATTCTTGTCGTGTTCCTGATCTCAAAGGGGAGGCTGTCAGCTTTTCCCCATTGAAAATTATATTCTCTGTGGGTTTTTCATAGATAGATTTTATGAAGTTAAGGAATGTTCCCTCTATCCCTATACTCTGAAGAATTTTAATCAGGAACAGATGCTGTATTTGTCAAATGTTTTTTCTGAATCAGTTGAACCCAAAATGGATGAAAGACCTCAACATGAGGCAGGAATCTATCAAAATCTTAGAGGAGAACATAGGCAGTAACCTTTTTGACACCGGATACAGCAACTTCTTTCAAGACGTGTCTCCAAAAGCAAAGGAAACAAAAGCAAAAATGAACTTTTGGGACTTGATCAAAATAGAAAGCTTCTGCACAACAAAGGAAACAGTCAACAAAACAAAGAGGCAACCCAGGGAATGGGAGAAGATATTCACAAATGACACTAGAGACAAAGGGCTTATATCCAAGATCTATAAAGAACTCCTCAAATTCAACACCCAAAAAATAGATAATCACGTGAAAAAATGGGCAGAAGATATGAACAGACACTTCTCCAAAGAAGATATACAAATGGCTAACAACCACATGAAAAAAATGTTCATCATCACTAGTCATCAGGGAAATTCAAATTAAAACCTCATTGAGATACCACATTACACCAGTTAGAATGGCAAAAATTAACAAGACAGTAAACAACAAGTGTTGGAAAGGATGTGGAGAAAGGGGAAGCTTCTTACACTGTTGGTGAACATGAAAGTTGGTGCAGCCACTTTGCAAAACAGTGTGGAGATTCCTTAAGAAATTAAAAATAGAGCTACCCTATGACCCTGCAATAGCACTACTGGGTATTTACCCCAAAGATACAGATGTAGTGAAAAGAAGGGCCATATGTACCCCAATGTTCATAGCAGCAATGGCCACAATCACCAAACCATGGAAAGAACCTAGATGCCCTTCAGTGGACAAATGAATAAAGAAGATATGGTCCATATATATAATGGAATATAATGCCTCCATCAGAAAGGATGAATACCCAATTTTTGTATCAACATGGACGGGAGGAGATTATGCTGCATGAAATAAATCAAGCAGAGAAAGTCAATTATCATATGGTTTCACTTACTCGTAGAGCATAAAGAAAAACATGGAGGACATTAGGAGAAGGAAAGGAAAAGTGAATTGGGGTAAATTGGAGGGGGAGATGAAGCATGAGAGACTATGGACTCTGAGAAACAAACCAAGGGTTTTGGAGGGGAGACGGATGGGGGTTGGGTAAGCCTGGTGATGGTTATTAAGGAGGGCATGTATTGCATGGAGCACTGGGTGTGGTGCATAAACAATGAATTCTGGTACACTGAAAAGAAATTTAAATTTGAATTCTTTCTCCTTACTTACCATGTGATTATTTACTCTACACCTGAATACCTTCCTATGATGGGAAATAACTACCTTCCAAAATAACCTCCATCGCTAGAGAATTTTTTGGAAAATCTGAAGTTTTGTTATAGGTCAAGATTATATTATAAGTAATATTATTAAAATGTCCAATCAAGTGAGAAAATATCCTAATCAACATGTCAAGAAAACAGTAAAAAGAACAACTACATGCTAGGATTAAGAAAGAATTTCTGCCAAATAAAATGCTCTGATACTAACCAAAAAGAAAACACAAACAAAAAAACACATTAGTTACTGATTACTGATTGTATTCCTCTGGTTAGGGAAAATAAGAGAACTATGATGTAAATCAAATTACGCTCAGAAATCCTCTTCCTGACCCTGTTTTGTGACCCTGAACACAGTCATACAAAACAAGTCCAAGACATAGTGTCATTTTAAAACTTCTTAGGCTTCCTTTCATTCCTACAGAATGAAAGCATTGGGATGATATCTGTTATAGGGAGAAACTTTTGAAAGTTAACTGCTAATTGGTATTGAAAATTTAGGGAACTAGGTACTGATTTAAGGGAGGAAAGAGGTTTCCTCTGAGGCACTAGTCTTCATTAATGCACTCAACACCTCTATACAAGGCACAGATTTGTCTACCAACAAGACCAAAAAAGGCTGACCATATTTAGTTTGTAGTCTTGGAAGGGAGACAAACAATAAATAAACACATAAATAAATAACATTTAATTAGATAATAAAATATGCCATAAAACATAAGGCAAAATAAGCAGATGGAATATAGGCAGGGTAGTTATAAGAGAAAGTGGCATTTAGCCTGAAGATGACTAAATATTTCAGATAGAAATAAGAGCATATACAAAACCTTTGAGCTTGGAATGAGTTTAGCATGTTTGAGAAATGCATAACTGGTAAGAGATAGGAGTTCAAGTGGAAAGTTAGGTGACAGCTACACCAAATAGCATCTTAAGGATTTTGGAACTTATCCTAAGTAATGGTCAAGGCAATGGAAAGTCTTAAACAAGTGAGTGAAATGATCTTTTTTATGTTTTGAAAAGAAGCCTTAAAAAAACAAAAGATTATCCTTGCTATTATATACTAAGCATTAAGTATAGGAAAATATGGATACAAAGAGGAAGTAAATACAATTAGATTTTTTCTATATTACAGGCTATAGACTATGGTATTCTTTTTTTTAAGTAAGCCCTACAAACATTGTGGGGCCTACACTCATGACCCTGAGATCAAGAGTAACATGCTATACTGAATGAGCCAGCCAGGTGCCCCTAGTCTATTTTGGATTAGGGTTTTAGAATGTGCATGGGTTTTCTATTGTTACATAATAAGTTACCACAAATTTAGTGACTTAAAACAGTACCTCTTGTTATCAAACTGTTCTGTAGGCTGTAAGTTCATGCACAGCTGTGGCTGGATTCTCTGCTCAGTGTCTCAAAAGTATCAAGAACTTGACTGAGTTCTTATCTCTAAGACTCTAGGGAAGAATCTGCTTCTAAGCATATTACTATTGTTAGCAGAATTCAGTTCAATGTAATTATAGGACTTGGACCACATTTAGTTGCTGGATCTCAGCCAGAGGTTCCTCTCAGCTTCTAGAGGCTGCCCACATTCCTTAACACAAAACTGCCCCCATCTTTAAGTCAGTAAAACCTTCTCATGCTTCAAGTCTCTGACTTCTCTTCTGTGACCAGCTAGAGAAAACTCTTTGCTTTTAGAGTGCCAAATAATTGAGTCAGGCCCACCTGGATAATTTTCTTATTTTAAGGTCAACTGTGCCATATAACATAAACCATTATTAATAGAAGTAAAGTTCATCATACTCACTGTCCTGGGAATTAAGCAAGACATGTATATACCAGGGGAAGGGATCTTATGGTCCATCCTAGAATTTTGCCTATCATAGAATGGGAATTGAGAGGAAAGGTCAGTTTCTGCATATATCATTGGAGTTATCTGGAGCTAATAATACTAGTTTATGGATTTGACTTGAGGGATAAATGGGATCAATAATACAAGATGATACCTATGTCTTTAGTTTGATAAACTGGATGAATAATGATGCCATCAATTCAATAGGGAAGAACAGGAAATGTGTTTTGGTTTGGACATATTAGGTGGAAATATAAATATGGGAAATGAAGTGAATCATGAGAAGTAAAAAGTTCTGCAAAGATCTGGGATAGGTTTCTAAGCAGAGGAAACTACTGGTACAAAAGCCCTGAGATAGAAATAAATTACAGTCTTGAATGAAATCACCTTATGTGAGAGTATAGAGACTTATTTTAAGGGTGAAGTCCTAGAACACTACTGTATTTCAACTTTAGACAAAGAAGATAAGAGGAAAATCTAAATGGTGCTGGTAAGAGGTACTTGGAAGCCAAGTGAAAAACATGAGTCAATATACTCAAAATGGATAACTGTATGAGATGCCTCTAAAAAAAT